CTCTGGCGACCACTCAAGGCGTAAAACCGGCTGGATACACCTCTACCACGAGCTCCACCCCTAACTACACTGTGCCCTGTTAGGGCTGAAGGATACACGGATGATGTGGCAGCTGAAGAACCGGATGACTGAGCAAATCCCCTACTCATGCCCTGACTGGGCGTACGGTAGTCCCGCTGGATATGACCTCTCACCCCGCATCTATGACACACCAGAATATCCAACTAACAAGTCTCAGAATGGAACCTACCATACTTGGGGCATGAAGCCCTCCCCTGCCTGTGTGATCTCCCTCTTGGACGACCGGAATGATGGGGTCTCCTACTGTCTAAACCTGATCTCAAGTGACTGCTCTGCTGATAACTGTGCATAGATGGCAGTGCGCTTGCTGAGGGCTGGGCATATGACTGGGATGGCTCTGATGGCCCTCTCCCCGGAACTGGTCTCCCTGAGTGACCCGCTGATCGGGCCCTGCTGCTACTCTCCCTTTCTGCCCGTATTTTCAACTTCCTAGCCTCTGTGGCCTGAGCGAACCCCACAATCTTCCCATAATTCATATCTGAGTGTAAGGCCGCTATAGCAGCCTCATTCACCACCAAAGGACTAAGACCCTGAACGAATCGCCGAACTCGAGCATCCATGGTCGACACTAACTGAGGAGCATACTTGGACAACTACACAAACTCCATGTGGTACTCCCAAACACTCATACTACCCTGCATAAGGACCTCAAACTCTGTGGCACAGACCGCCATTGTCTCGACAGGCAAGAAGTGGTCCATGAATGCATCTACAAACTCATCCCATCTAGCTGGAGGTCTTACATCCCCATGGGAATCCTCCCACATCTCGAACCACGAATATGCTACTCCCCTCAACCTATATGAAGCCAACTCAACCCCTTCCGTCTCTGTAGCCTTCATCACTCGAAGGGTCTTATACATTTCATCAAGGAAATCCTGCGGATCGGCCTCTGGGTCTGTGCCCGTGAACTCTGGAGGGGCCAACCGCAGAAACTGGTTGACTCTAGAGCTAGCGGAATCTCCCTGTCCGCTGGCAGGCGTAGGGGCATCATGAGATTTCTGGGCCTGAGCGGCCACTAACTGGGTCAAAATATGGATGGCTCCTGTAAAGTCCCCATCAGAAACCCCGGGATTGGAAGCTGGAATTGCATCAAGATCAAGAATATCAGCAGGAGGGTTGGTAGCACCCTCTGCCGCAGCTGGAACAGGAATACTTGGATCTGGAATAGATGGGCCAGGCAGATTTGAGACCAGGGAGTCACACTCACCCACGGCATCAGGTACATGATTCACAGCCACACTTGGGGTGGCATTGGCCCCGAGGCCGAGTCTAGCTCTCTTCTTAGGTGCCATTACTGAAAATTTGGAACAGAGCACGAGTTAGATGTAAATACTTCCACTTTTCACTTCACCGCACGATATAGAGTAACAAAGAAGAAGGTAATTTCCTAAATGCCCATGTAGCCTCCAACTTATAGATGTGGTCGACAACACACCGATAAGGAGGACTCTACTAGACACGACTCTGAGACATCCTAGGACACTTTAAAACCTTAGGCTCTGATACCAAGTTTGTCACGCCCCAAAAACCGAGGTGCACGACCGGCACTCGACCGGGTAGCCCCCAGCCAAGCGGACCTGGGTGCCTTTCCTATTCCACGTGATACCCTGTGTTTCCATTACCCATTAACCAAGTGAAATATCCATTTATAAATTTAAACATATTCTTACGAGATTTACATAACATACATAGTTACTTAGTGTGGTTTACAAGTTATACTGCCCAAAATACATAAGGACATAACCCACGTTTCCTATCTACGGAGCCTCTAAATATAACTAAAGAATAATACGAAAATGTCGTCAATAAGGCTCCGGCTATACCTTACAAAAATACCAAAATTAGACTCCGGGAAGAAAAGCGGCATGAGCCACGCAGGGCCCCGAGAGAAAAGGGGCTCACCAATTTAGCTGACGGGAGGTGAAGGAGTGCTACTGTCGGTGGGCTGGAGTACCTGTTATGAAACCACCTAGAATCATAACACAAATGTAGCCCCCCGGAAAAAGGGACGTCAGTACATTTGAATTGTACTGGTATGTATAGACAAACTTTACCCCAAGTAAAATCAAGAAATACACATATAACAAACAGTAATAGAATCAACAATCAAATGCACATGAAAGGAACAACCAAAGCCAAACAACTCCACAATCTCTCCTTTTCCCCTTTTAACATTATTTCATCACATCAATGGTTTCACAACTTTCACATATTTTTTATTTCAATAGTGATTTCGATCACTTTTCCATCCTTATTCCTCGGCCACCCTTATCACCACAATCCACACCTTATTACTTCGTGTTGCGGCGCGCAACCCGATCCCATCGGACAATCATATTTCGCACAACAACAACAACAACGATTCACATAGAGGGTTCATAAACATCAATACCAAATCCAACATATACAATAACCCGTACATAATTCAAGTCACAATGATAATTGCCCACAACAAGTCACGTATGATATTGCCACAGTTGTTTCAATTGTATCAATTACGATTTCTTTCCATCATTTGTTCCACAGCTCTTACCACGTAACACATTCATACCCACACGCACTTGTCCATTTTACTCACACCACTATAACGGAAAACTTAACCAACAACGTTCAAGGCATATTAATCACAAGAATTTCACAAATAGTCCACATAAGTAACACATACCAATTACTCGTACACCAACAAGGTGACTTTACAAAGGTTAAAGTTAGCCATACTTACCTGGAGTCGAATTCCCTTTTTATCTTCTAATTTCAATTCACCAACAGCCTAGTACCGTCAATCTAGTTCACAAGTTAACACAAATAGCTTAGAATTGAAGTTCACAAACTCAGCCCGAACTTACTTAGGTTTCCAACCCCTCTTTTGTGAATCTTTAGTTCTACCCAGTTCCTCTTACTAGATTCTAGGTTTTAAAGGACATGCATGTGTATCTCAACTTCCATTTTCAAGAATTAACGCTTGAGAATTCCCCTTTTTGTTTAAATCTGGAAACAATGAAAAATGGTTGGGGATTTTATCTTCAAGAACGGAGATGAAGACAATTACTTGAAATTCCCTGGCCCGAGTGACTTTGAAGAATCAAATTGATGAAGGTAGGACTTTATCTCTCAAGAATTCTCTCTTCCCTCTCTCTAGTTTTGTTCAGAAAATATGTTAAAATAAGGGGTTGGGATGTTTTATTGAAGAAGGGGTCGGGTTTAAAATTTAGAAAATTGGAGCCCCGAGTCAGGTCTGCGATCGCAAATGCGATCGCAGAGTGGAAATGCTGTCCGCAGAATGGACCGCAAAAATGCTCCCAACGTCTGAACACACTTCCTGGGTATGCGGCAGAAATGTGGTCCGCATACCCGTTCTGCAGTCGCATAATGCACCGCAGAACTGCCCTTCACAAAATCCCAAGGGAAATATGCGACGACTATGCGGTCCGCATATCGGTTATTCGATCGCATATTTAACCTCAAATTTGACCAACACACTGACTCACTTTACGGCGATTGTGCGGTCCGCATACCTGATATGCGACCGCATTCTCGACCGTAGAATCGCATTTTCCGGAAAACAGTATTTCTTGACTNCCCCCTAATAGGGTTGTGCTTGATTTTTGCTCGAAGTATCGAGTTACCCTGGCACAGATTCATCCGTCATTTTGGCAAACGGTGTTGATGATGAGATTCTTTAGGGAGAAAGATGGGCTTGAATTCACGCTTGACCATTTTGTTAGGCTATATCGGCCCTTTCATAATCGAGGCCTGCTAACCCTGAAATGTCGTTCATCCACGCCCTTTGTTGTTAATGACGAGGAAGTCGGGGATCGAGAATGGGCCATTTGGTTTATCCGGGTCCGGATGCCCGATATTATCCCTGTGGAGTTTTTGCCATTTCCCGAAGGGTGGAATTATGCATGTGAGTGAGGCGTTTGGTGCTATTTTAGATTCCGCATATAGCGAAACCGGGTGAGTAATAATGTTTTCTCCCTTGTTGCAGCAACTTCGTGGATGCCGGGTGAAGTCCTTGACCTGCCCGGCTAGGTTCGGAGGCTGGTGACCCATTCGTCCTGCGACGAGCGTAGGTGGCGAGCTGTGCTTCGTACCAGATAGGGAGCGCAATACCAAGGTATGTGAGTATGCTGCCTTTGCCTTCGTATACCCGAGGTAACACTTTCCCCTTTCAATTGTACTAGATTCGCCGTTTGTAGATATTAGGCGGTTCCTTGGGATGAGACATGTTTTTCTGAAGAGGGGAAGGGATCGTTGGCCTTTGGGATGAGGGATGATGACAATAAGAGGGATCAGCACCCGCGGTGCGATAGAGCCTTTAGTGGTGCTGGTCGGGCTCACATTTTCTAGGAAGGGGCGTCGCCTAAGTCTACTGCTCCCGGAGTGCCTGACTCTCGGCCGATGGTTCCTTTGAGCGATCATGCCGTGCCCGAGGTCAGTTCTTCTATGTCCGCACGGGCAGGATCAATATGTGTGTGCTCTGACATCGAGGAAGTTCGTCGGCTTCACTTTGTGGTGAGTTTATGCATAGTTTCCCTATATCCCGTGTCCTCCTCCCTCTATTGAACCTTTCTTGTGCAGGCCTGTGATAGGCTTAGGTCTGAGCTGCTTCGTCAAGGGGGCAAGCTCCAGAAGATTCTGGATGAGGGTGAATCCCTTATGCTTCTTAGCAAGGAGAAGGCTGTTGAGCTGCAACATTGGCGATATGTGGCGTACCGGAGCTCAAACTATTAGAGCTATTTGATGGAGTAGGTAACTTCCTATAGTACGTGTTTCACTCCTTTCTAACCTTAAGGCTAAATCCTTTTTGTCGTATCATTTGCAGAAAAAGGCGGAGGACTTGGAGTACCTGAAAGGTGACGTCAACTACTTTAGAGTTGCTTGCAAGGAGCTAAGGGCTCAAGTGCAGGCTCGAGCTTTAGAGGAGATGAGCGCCTCGGCTAAGGTCCCTGCCTTTGAGGTCCAACTCAGCTTGACTCAAGAAAACGCCAAAGTTCAAGTGGATATGATTGGGAAACTTGACTCTGATCTCTCAAAGGTCAGAGCCGAGATAATTGATGCTCGAGTAAAAACAAGATAAAGTCGAACCAAGGCTGATCGTGAGATGGCGATTCGTATGAAAGATGTTGCTGATGCCCAAGTTGAGCTAAAGCGAACCCTCGACTGGGAGAAGAGGATCGAGGAATCCGTAGAGAGGTACTCGAGGAGGTCGGTGCAAGGGGCTTTGTTCTCTCAGAGGAGTTGGGTCGAGCAAGGGCAGACGAGCGGGACGCTCGGTCACTTCTTGTTGACGCTGCAGGGGGGCGAATTTGACAAGCTGTAGCCCTTTAGCATAGAGTGTGGATTTTGCCGTTTTGTCGCTTTGTCTTTGATATACGTAGGGCATGCCTGTAGGTGGAGAATGCGCTTTTTCGCGCATGTAATATATAAGAAGAAACTTGAAGCTTTGTTTCTCCTGTACCTTTTTTCTGTCATTGCTTTCGATCGAGCAGACTGGTTTTGGTGTTTGGCAAGATCCTCGTGAGTCCGGAACTGATCGGACAGATCCGGGGGCTCT